GGCGGCTCCACACCCACGCGCCATCTGGCCTCACCGCCGCCATGGCCGGCGGACGCCCGGGTGTGCAGATGCCGCATCTCAGCAAGGTGGGTGCTGGGTGGGGGTCCCGCCATCCCCCGCCCCCGGATTTCCCGGCATGCGAGGCCGGGAGCGGCAGGAGAGGGGTGGGTGCGGGTGCGCACGAGTGTGGACGCGGGTCTGGGGGCGATGGCACTGTGTGAGGCGGGGCGAGGCGGCGGAGGCCGGGGCTGCGGGGGGAGGGGAGCGGCCCTCGCCTCCGCCCCTCCCCCTCCCCCGCTCCTCCGCTGCCCGCCGCGGCCCCAAATCCCACCATCATGCGCGTTAATCTTCTCTGAGCTCACCGATCCCGGGCATCCCGGCCCGTTGCGGGGAATCAGGATGTGGGGGTGGGGGGAGGCCGGCCGGAACAGCCCCTCAAGGCCCCCCTTCGCTCAGATGGAGCGGGTGGTCGTGAGCATGCAGGACCCCGACCAGGGCGTGGAGATGCGGAACCAGCGCCTGCGCATCACCGTCATTCCCCACACCGTGGCTGGTGAGGCGCCGCCGGGTCCGGGGTTGGTGGCGGCCCTGCCTCGCCTACCCCTGCCCCATGCCAGTCTCTGGTGTGCAGGCAGCGACGTCGTGGACTGGTTGGTCCAGAAGTACTGCATCTCAGAGGAGGGTAAGGGGGTTATCCTGCCCCCTGCCCTCTGCCCGGGGGTCGCTGTGCTGATGGCCAAGGCTGGGCCTGCTCAGGGCTCACAGGTGTTAAGGTTGAGCCAAGTGCACTGGGGAGGGAGAGCTCCCAAATTGCTTCTCCCAGGCTTAGCGCTCGCCACCCTGCCCCTCCCCCCAGAGGCCCTGCACCTGGGCACCCTCCTAGTGCAGCACGGCTACCTATACTCTCTGCGCAGCCCCCGCAGCCTTGTGCTCCGGCCAGACGACACACCCTACAGATTCCAGGTCAGGTGCAACTGGGAGCAGGTGGGAACCCCAAACCAGCAGCCCTGCTAGAGGGGACTTGTGGAAGGGGGGAGACTGAGTTTGGAGTAGGAAGTGGTGATGTCATCACAGGCCTGGGTCCACTGCCCCTCCCCGAAAGGCCTGGACTATGAGTGTCCTGTGGTAGAAAGACCTGATTAAGGGGAGAGACCTTTAGTTTCTCTGAGGCCACAACAGGGCCTCCATAAAGGGTATAGTACTTGTGGAGGATTCTGATGGTTTCTCTGAGAGTCCTTAAGCCCCCGCTCATGAATAAGTCTGTGTGGTACCTGAGGACAGGATCCTGGCATCTCACTGTGTATCCCTAATCACGGTGGAGCTCCCCTGCCTGGCCTCGTGGCTACAACAGGGACCCAGGCAGGGTTTGCTCTCAGTCCTCACCCACAGTCCTCAGCACAGACTGAGTACATGCATGACTTGGGCAGGCCCCACCCCACCCCACCAGGCAGTAGGGACTCAGGGAGCCCAGTCAAGGAGGCAGTGCCTGCACTGGGCCCCAAGGGGTGAGCAGAACTCAGTTCCAGGTGGGGAAAATGGCCAGTGGTCTGTGAATCTCCAGGCTGTGGGCAGACAGGCAGGTTCTGAGGCACCGCCTGGCCAGCCCACCCCCTTCCCAAGGGATCTGGGAAGGTGGACAACTCCTGGGGTGGGGAAGGCCCAGGAGGTCCCGGACACCCTGTCCCTGCACCATACCAGACGCCCTATTTCTGGACGAGCACCCTGTGGCCAGCTGCTGAACTGGACTATGGTGAGTGAGGAGGAGTGGGCTCTAACCTGGGACAAGTTCCTAGCACTGTTGCCCTCCCACCCGAGTGATGCCACAAGGGTCGAGGGGCAGAGATTTTTCCTCTGCAGCCTGGCCCCCTGTCCTTCCAGCCATCTACCTGACGAAGAAGAACATCCGAAAGCAGGGGGCCCTGGTCGGCCACGAGAAGGTGGGACCCCCCCCGCCCCTCGGCTGAGTCCAGCCAGAGGAACCCAAGCCCCGCTCTTGGCCTCTTGGCTCTGGGGCCTCACAGTTTGCCCTGGAGCACACAGCCTAGGCCCCAGGAGAGTGCAGACACACAAACACGTCATCCCTATGTGTCTCAGCGGGGTGGTGGTTGGTCTGCACCCCCAAGCTGGACACAGGAGGGGTTACCCAGTGGAGACCTCGACATCCCCCAGGAACACTATGACCAGCTACACAGGAAGATCAACCACACGTGGGACCTGGTGGTGATGCAGGCCCGAGAGCAACTACGGTAAGATCTTGCCCTGCTCACTCGGAGTGGGCACTGCCCGGGAGGCCCAGGAGTACCACACCGGGCACTGTGGGGCCAGAGATACCATTGCCCAGGCTTGGCTCCCCACCAGGCTCTGGCCTGAGGGTGGGGAGGGGGTGGGGAGGTGCTACGGTGGGCGCCATGTCTCCCCCAACTCCACCCCCCCCAGGGCAGCTAAGCAGCGCAGGAAGGGGGACAGGCTGGTCATTGCATGTCAGGAGCAGACGTACTGGCTGGTGAACAGGCCCCCGGTAAGCTCCCCTGTGTGTGGGGAGAGGGCGGTGTGGTTTCTTGTTCAGCAGTGGGGTCTTGCTGGGAGTCTGTGTGCCTCCCTCAGATGCTGTCTCTGGACCTACATTTTGAGCCTGTGGTAAGGACGGGGCTTTCGGGGTCCCAGCAGGAAGTTCTCGTTCTGGGACCCATCAGAACCCAGAGATCGCAGGGCCAATCCACACAGCACAACAAACCAGTTTCTTTGAGGTCTAAGGGAGGAGGCAAAGTGGAGCCAGGCTTATCCACAGCATCAAGGGACTGGGGTCACAGGCCAAGAACTTCTGGGGGCACTGGCCTGGAGTTAGGCCTTACCCAGAGCCATGGTCTGGGCAGGTGGTTTGCAGTGCCCCGGCTGTGTGGGGCTGTGGAGCTGTCAGATCTACCATGAGTGGGGGTTCCTGTGGGAAAAATCCGTGAAAAAAAAACAGAGCGAGTCACCCACAGGTCCAGCACCTCACCCGGGGTGTGTGTGTGTGTGTGTGGGGTGGCTGTCTCTGGGAAAATAATGGCTCATCTTGCGCCTGAGGGCCAGGTGGGTGGGTGGGGGGAGGAAGGTGGGGTGGACGTGGCCCCAAGGGTGTGTATGTGGGCTGAGGGCAGGGCCATGCAGGGCGAGGGTCCAAGTGGAGGGGACTCTGGGAATGGCAGCTGGAGCTTCCGGGGCAGCGGGCATAAGGGCTGCGCCCTGGGCCGCGGTGAGGAAGAGGCCAGACCAGCATGTGTATTTGAGGTCAGGGCAGCAAGATGCGTGGCAAGTGACCGTTTCAAGACGGGTGGTGAGAGGGGTGCCTGGTCGGCGCAGTTAGTGGAGTCAACTCTTGGTCTTGGGGCTGTGAGTTTGAGCCCCACTGGGCACACAGCCTGCTTTAAAAAAAAAAAAAAGAAGGATGGTGAGGGTTGTGGTGTGAGCGGTCAGGAGCCCAGCAGGGAGGTGAGCTCGCCTAAGGGGAGGTCCCCGCAGGTGTGGGACAGGTAGAGAGGAGGATCAGCCTCTGCAGTTCCTCCGAATGTCAGTCTCCGTGTTACAGGATGACGTGCGGGTGCAGAGCTTCAGTTTATGGAGGCGGGTGGGGGGCAGGAACACAAGGCTGGGTTGGGTCTCAGCAGCCCACCTGGGCCGTACCCCCACCTCATCTCGGCTTTCCGTCTGCAGCCAGGTGTCCCCAGCGTCCTGGAGCAGGGTCCAGAGCGCAGTTCCTGCACGGCTGGGCGAGTGCAGATGGTGAGGACCCTGCACACATGCCCCCAGGCCACTCCCCGCTACCCCTGCATACATGTCTCCCCACCCCAACGTGGGGGCTGCCCATCCGTCCGTCTGTCCATCCATCCATCCATCCAAATGGCACTTGACCCTGACACCAAGAGGCCCTGCTCTGCTCCTGGCATTACTCACCCCTGCCTACACCCCCACTCTCAGGCCTCCGCTAACTCTCACTTCTTGCCTCCCCAACCTGCTACACTGGGTACAAGTAAGTGTGATGGGGCTCTGGGAAGGGTGGGAGCTCTTGCCCAGGCTGGGACAGCCCCAGGGTCCAGGGCAGTTGGAGATGTGCCCAGCAGAGCCATGGGCCTGAGAGGCCTGGGCTGAGCCAGCCACCTCCCTCCAAGGCCTCTGGTGGCCGCTGGACGGACATGTCCAGACCTGGTAGCAGCTGAGCCCTCTGTTCCAATCCCACAAAACCCAAAATATACAATATCTAGTGCCTTCCAGATAAAACTTCTTCCTGACTTTTAAGTTGTAGTTCATGATCACAGGTTTATAATTTCCTTATTATAAGGTCGACCAAAGAGAGCCAAGACTAACATTGGAGATCCCAGGCATCCTGAGCAATTTGTGGGTGTTGGGAAGGGTCAGCCTGTCACCTGGCCCTGAGGATGCGGCAGGCACGCTCTGAGCTCTGAACAGGATGGGATAACCTTGAGCACAAGTTAGCAAGACTAAGTCCCCCATGGTGATCCTGTGGCTGTATCTCTCATGTGTCTGCTGGTTTTTTTTTTTTTTTAGATTTTATTTATTTATTTGAGAGAAAGAGTGAGAGAGAGAGAGCATGAGAGGAGGGAGGGTCAGAGGGAGAAGTAGACTCCCTGCCGGGCAGGGAGCCCAATGTGGCACTCGATCCCGTGACTCTGGAATCATGACCTGAGCAGAAGGCAATCACTTAACCAACTGAGCCACCCAGGCGCCCTATCTGCTAGTTTTTTTTAAAAATGACCTAAATACATTCGAAAATGTGAAATAGGGACAATTGGGGAACTGTAAGGTAACTTTGACAGTGTGTGGGCTCCATGGAACATTCTGGAAACCTCTGGACTAGAGGCCTCCAGATGCTTTTTGGAAAGCCAGACGCCTCCATTAGAGGAGGGGGCTTCAAGGGGCAAGGCGGGGTCCTGAGCCCTTTTCCACCAGCCGAAGGATGGACTCATGAGCCCAGGGTGGGTGGTCAGTCCCCACAGGGCCTGCCTTCTAACTGCAGCCCATTTGGCCCCTTTCAGACCAAGAATACGGAGTTCTACAAGCGGGAGGTAGGTCCTAGAGGTGGGTGGCAGGGAGGGGCCTGGGCTGGGGGTCAGCCAGCCCAGGCCCCACCTCATAGGCCTCGCGTCCTAGATGGAGCGCTGCAGGAAGGCCCTGACCAGGGCCCGGGTGAAGTCCTCCATCTGCCTCGAGGCGTGAGTGGGCTGGGGGCCCAGAGCGCAGACCCTTCCCCAAGTGCCCGTGTCCCCACAGCCTCTCCCTGCACTGGTCCCTGGCACCTCCCCCCACCCCCTAGGTACCTGAAGTTCAGCAGCCAGCATGGGCCACACGACCCCATCATGTCAGGGTGCCTGCCCAGCAACCCCTGGGTCACAGATGATGACACCTACTGGATCATGAATGCACCCAGGTGAGCCCAGGGTGGGCAAGGGGCACTGCTCCCCACCCTTCCGTCCCACCGGCCCATTCCTTGTGCTCCTGACCAGCCCCTCCGTGTCCCCTCAGCGTGGCTGTGCCCACGAAGCTCCGCGTGGAGCGATGGGGTTTCAGCTTCCAGGAGCTCTTGGAAGACCCTTTGGGACGGGCCCATTTCATGGACTTCCTGAGGACCGAGTTCAGTGGTGAGAAGCCCTATGCCCTGCTCGAGGGCCCTGGGAGGGCACTGCTGCCGAGGACCCTCCAGGTTTCTGCCAGCCCTGGCCACGGCTCGGGTGGGCCTCACCTGGCGTGTGGACCTCCAGCTGAGAACCTCAGCTTCTGGGAGGCCTGTGAGGAGCTGCGCCACGGAGGGCAGGCCCAGGTCCACGCTATGGTGGACGCCGTGTACCAGTGAGTGCCGAGGGGTGGGGACCGGCCGGTGGCGGGCGGGCGTGTGGAGCCCACACCCACTGGGCCTGTGTCCTCTCCCCCTCGCGCCGACACAGGCAGTTTCTGGCCCCTGGTGCTGCCCGCTGGGTCAACATCGACAGCCGGACGATGGAGCGGACCCTGGAGGGACTGCAGCAGCCCCACCGCTACGTGCTGGATGATGCCCAGCTGCACATCTACATGCTGATGAAGAAGGTGGGCGTGCGGGCCCGGAGAGCGCGGCAGTACCCTGCCCCGTGGGGGCCAGCCCCTCCCCACTGCTGTCCAGTTCACACCTGCAGCTTAGGCTCTACCTTACAGAGGAGTAAACTGAGGCTCAGAGGGGCGGAGGGCTTGCCCCAGCCTCTTGCTTAAGGAGAGGTCCAATTGTGATTTTAAAAAGTATTTTAACATGGGGGCGCCTGGGTGGCTGAGTCGGTTAAGCGGCTGCCTTCAGCTCAGGTCATGATCCCAGGGTCCTGGGATCGAGCCCCGCATCGGGCTCCCTGCTCTGCGGGGACCCTGTTTCTCCCTCTCCTACTCCCCCTGCTTGTGTACCTGCTCTCGCGTTCTTTCTCTCCGTCAAATAAATAAATAGGATCTTAAAGAAAAAAGTTAATAGAAAATTCCAAATGTAAACAGACGTATAGTAAAATGATGGATCCTCGTGTTCCTACTGCCTGACTTCAAAAACAGTCAGCTCAGGGCCGGTCCTGACCTCTCGTCCACCCCTGCCCACTGCCCCGACCCCGTGACTTTCAAGCCATTTTCAGACTTCTGTCTGTGTATTCAGGATCCTCTAAAGGATGTGGACCACCTCCTTCCCTTTCCAGTGTGACCCCAGATGCCAGCATCACACACTGAACACGGGATATTTATTCGGTGTCCTCAAAGAGCTGGTCAGCGTCCAAACTTCCCCACTTGGGCTGTGTGCCTAGTCTCTTGTTGCCGCTGTAACAAATCACCACAAACCCAGAGCCGTAAGACGGCGACTTTTTATTCCGTCACCGTGTGCAGGTCAGAAGTCCCACCCAGGTCTCCTGGGGTGGAGGTCAGGTGTGGGCAGCGCTGGCTCCTTCTGGAGGCTCCGGGGTGGGGTAGGGATCACGTTTCCTGCCTTTCCCAGTTTCTGGAGAGAGTGCCTTCCTTGGCAAGTGGCCCCTCCTGCGTCCTCATAGCCCGCAGTGGAGCATCTCCAGCCTGTCGCTCCGGTCCTTCCACAGGCTCCTCTTTGGCTTTTAGGCCCCGTGGTGACACTGGGTCCACCTGTCCAGTCCAGGGCATCTCCCCACCTCAGTCCCTTTGCCTTGTAAGACACGACCACAGGTCCATAGGGTAGGGTATAGACATTTCTGGGGTTTTCTCTGAATGCCGCAGCCTATAAATATCTATTTTCTTTTTAGTTTGCTTGAATTTGGGTCCAAAGCAAAGTACATATGTTAGAATTGGTTAATAAATTTTTTAAACCTCTTTTTCTTTTTTAAGTAGGCTCCACACCCAGTGTGGAGCCAACATGGGGCTTGAACTCATGACCCTGAGGTCAAGACCTGAGCTGAGATGGAGTCGGATGCTTAACCCACTGAGCCACCTAGGCGCCCCAAACCTCTTTTTTACGTTTATTTAATCTCTACACCCAACATGTGGCTTGAACTCACGACCGTTGAGATCAAGAGTTGCACACCCTTCTGACTGAGCCAGCCAGGCGCTCCTCTTGAATCTCTTTTTAAAGTACGGTTTTTGGGGGCGCCTGGGTGGCTCAGTTGTTAAGCGTCTGCCTTCGGCTCGGGTCATGATCCCGGGGTCCTGGGATCGAGCCCCGCATCGGGCTCCTGCTTGGCGGGAAGCCTGCTTCTCCCTCTCCCACTCCCTCTGCTTGTGTTCCCTCTCTCGCTGTGTCTCTCTGTGCCAAATGAAGAAATAAAATCTTAAAAAAAAAATGAAGTATGGTTTTTGTTTTGAAGGAGTTGGAGGTCCTTTGTCCTGTAGTTGCTCACAGTCTAGGCCATACTAACGGTGCCCTCGCCGTGTCTTTGGAGTGTTTTTCTGTCGCCTGTGTTTCTGGATGTTGGTAGTGATGTTTCAGACTTGATCAGATTCATCTTCAGTTTTATTGTGTGTGTGTGTTTGGTTTCGTGGACGGTATTTTTCCTCAGGGATGGTGTTCGGTGTGTCCTCCCATCAGGAGGTACGTGCGGCCCAGCTGTCTCCCATTTTGTGCTGCGAGCAGCCCCTGGCAGTTGCCGGCCAGACCCGATTCTGTTTGGGTGCAGAGCCGGCCCGTCCCTGCCTCTGTTGACAAGCTGGCACGTACTCGGAGGCATCTCCCCTCGCCTGCTCTTTGTTGCGCGGTCCCCCAGGGAGGGCACAGTCAATGCCTCATTCCTTATTTTCCACTTTTCAGAATAATGACTTGGACCCACCGTGTCTGCCAAGGATGGTCAGTGAGTTGGAGATGTTTTTAATACCACAGTAAATCCATGCTCTCAGGAGATGGCGGGTTTCGTTCACGTGGTTCTTACTCTTCCTTGCTGTGCAGAGGGCCCCCCCCCCGCCGTCCCCGCGTTGGCTCCTGAGGCATTTGATGTGTTCTGACATCTGCCGCAGCTTGTCCCAGGCTCCTCCTGCACCGTTCCCACAGGCAGCCCTGGCCCTTCTAGGCTCTTTGGAAATAGGGACCTGCGCGCCGGATGAGTTCGTTGTCACCTGGCTTGTTTGCAGGCCTTTCAGTGAAGAGAATTAGGAAACAGAAGTGTTTTAGGTAGAATATATCAGGAGTTCATCCTGACACGGCGAATTCAGATGCAGGATTACACAGTTTCCTTCAGCTCTCTGACTTTCATCTCTTTCCTCGCTAACCCGCTGAAAACCGTGGTTTGCAGCAAGGCTAACATAATGGCTCACTCGCTTTTCCTCCCATTTCACTCAGGAGTCCCAACCGAACGACACAGCACTGCCCTTTACGATGCACTCACCGACAGTGGTTTACTTTTTTCTGGTCCTGGGGACGCCCCTTGAACGGCTCCGATGAGTGTGGCCAGGGTGCTGTCACGCTCTGGGTGCCCAGCTCACTCATTCCCCTTTACCTTCGATGTGTAGGAATTGATTATGCCTTGTTTTGTTGTGTAATTATGTAAAGTATCGACACAGGTTCAAAATTCAGTCTACAAACAAGGTACATTTCAAGATTTTTTTTTAAAGATTTTATTTACTTATCTGACAGAGAGAGAGACACAGAGAAAGAGGGAACACAAGCAGGGAGGGGAGTGGGAGAGGGAGAAGCAGGCTCCCCGCCGAGCAAGGAGCCCGATGCGGGGCTCGATCCCAGGACCCTGGGACCACGACCTGAGCCGAAGGCAGACGCTTAACCAGCTGAGCCACCCAGGCGCCCCAAGATTTTTTTTTTTTTTTTTTTAATTGAGAGAGAGAGAATGATAGCATGAGAGGGGGGAGGGTCAGAGGGAGAAGCAGCCTCCCCGCCGAGCAGGGAGCCCGATGCGGGACTCGATCCTGGGACTCCAGGATCATGACCTGAGCCGAAGGCAGTCGCTTAACCAACTGAGCCACCCAGGCGCCCAACAAGGTACATTTCAAATAAATCTAGTTATGTCTTCCCACTAAAATTAACTGTTTAAAATTTATATTTTTCTTTTAAAAATATAAACAGGTTCATAGATTTCTCTCCTTTATTGCATACCGTACAGTTTTTCTCGATCTTGCGTTTTATTTTGCTCCATGTCCTCACCCTCACTCTTGGGGTACGCCAAGAACCAGGGGAGGTACTACTTGGAATTTCCCACTGGAGGTCCCATGGCTCACTCCTCCGAGTGTGGGCACTGGGCCCCTGCCCACCTTTTGAGGGTTAATGGCCCCACTGGCTAGGAGCCCAGGTCTCCCTGAGTCTGTCTGACATGGTCGGGGCAGGTCTGGGATGGTTGCCTCCAGCACTGTCCACTCGGGGGGCTCTGGGGCTGGCAGGGGCCCCTGCAGTGCCAGGCTAGACCCCCAGCGGAAGCTGGCTGAACGCCATCTCTTGCAGGACTCCTACCCAAGGTTCCTGAAGTCCTCCACATACAAAGACCTGCTGGCAGAAGCTGTGATTCCCCCAGAGGCCAAGAGACGGTGAGCTGGGCCGCGCCCTGTGCCCCGGGCAGTGAGGCAGGCGGGACCCACACAACTGCCCTGTGCTCAGGTCCGCTCTCCTCCACAGGGTGTTCCCGTTTATGCGGAAGCCGCGGCATTCAAGCCCCAGCCCTGCTCTCCTTCCTGCCTCCACCTCTGGGGAGCCTGTGGCTGCAGCCAGTGGCCCTGAGTGTGGTGACGGGGGCACCTAGGTGGGCATAAAGCAGGAGGGGGAAGTGGCCATCCTCACTGCTTGCCCGGGGTCCTCACAGCTTTGAGATCCCTGGCGTGGGCGTCCCCTAATGCCCAGAGGGCCCGCCTTGCCCCTATGCCCAAGGGCGTCTTGGGCTCCCACCTTTTCCCTTGTCAAGCCCTCCCCTCCCCAGAAGGGGCTGGGCCAGGTGCTGATTCCCGGGAAGGGGTGTCATTGAGCTTGGGTCACCTGGGGAAAGGTAGGATGAGGTGGGTCAAGCAGATCAGGCCACATGAAGGCCCTGGCATTCTGTGGTCTGCAGTTCATTAAATCGCTGGCGAATACCAGGTGGTTTCCAGCAGGGGGCACTTATCATGAGGAACCGCAGGCCTCAGGGCAGATTTATCCACAGCCCTTGGCCCATTGTGACCCTGCAGGGACCCCACACCATGTCCCCAGTTCCGCTGGGGCCGTGCTCAGCCTTCCGACCAGCCCAGAGCTGTCCTCATGGGTCTTGCCCACACCGTGGCTGTCACTGTGCGTGTCCCAGACCTCATCCCACAGGGACACCTCCAGCTGGTGTCCTCGAGGCTGGGGCTCCTCTGCCAGAGCTGCACAGACATGACTCCAGTGTCATCACCTGTGACAACCGGCCCCGGTCCATGGCCAGGGCAGGTGGAACCCTTGGGGAAGGGGGTGATGCCAGACCCAGGGTGAAGTACAGTCACTCCTTTGGGGTGCAGCTCTGTCAGGCCAGAGGGGGGTGCCACCCATCCCACTCCCACCCACACCTGGCCCAGAAATAAAAGACCCTTGCCCTCACTCTGAGCCCACCCTATTGTGGTCCGACTTGTGGACTGTGGGTTGAGTGTGTGGTGTGCACGAGTGAGACGTACGGCACATGAGGCATGTGTGGTGTACATGAGACATGCAGGCGTGAGGCATGTGTGCGTGTGAGGCATGCGGCAGGTGTGAGGTATTTGTGGTGTGCGTGTGAGCATGTGTGTGTGAGGCATGTGGTAGGCGTGAGGCATGTGGTGTGAGGGATGTGGTTACGTGTGAGGCATGTGGTAGACGTGAGGCATGTGGTGTGCGTGTGGCATATAGACATGAGGCATGTGTGTGAGGCATGTGGTAACGTGAGGCGTGTGTGTGAGGCATGTGGTAGGCGTGGGGTATGTGAGGCATGTGATGTGAGGCATGTGGTGTGTGTGTGAGGCATGTGGTAGGTGTGTGAGGCGTGGTAGACATGAGGTATGTGGTGTGAGGCATGTGGTAGGCATGAGGTGTGAGGCATGTGGTAGGCGTGAGGTGTGTGTGGTATATGTGAGAGTCATGTGAGGCATGTGCTGTGCATGTGAGGCATATGGTAGGTGTGAGGCATGTGGTGTGCATGTGAAGCATACAGTAGGCGTGAGACGTGAGGCATGTGGTAGGCATGAGGCATGCGGTTACATGAGGTGTGCATGGTGTGTGAGGCATGCAGTTATGTGAGGTATGCGTGGTGTATGTGAGGCATGTGGTAGGAGTGTGAGGCATGTGGAAGGCGTGAGGCATGTGGTGTGCATGTGGGGCATGCGTGGTATGCATGTCAAGCATGTGGTAGGCGTGAGGTATGTGTGGTGTGCGTGTGAGGCATGTGTGCATGTGAGGCATGTGGTAAGCCTGCAGTGTGCATGAGGCATGTGGTAGGCGTGAGGCACGCGGTGTGCATGTGAGGCATATGGTAGGCATTAGGCATGTTGTGTGCGTGTGAGGCACGTGGTAGATGTGAGGCACGTTGTGTGCATGAGGCATGTGATGTGAGGCACGTGGTGTGCGTGTGGGGCATGTGGTAGATGTGAGGCATGTGTGCGTGTGAGGCACGTGGTAGATGTGAGGCACGTTGTGTGCATGAGGCATGTGATGTGAGGCACGTGGTGTGCGTGTGGGGCATGTGGTAGATGTGAGGCATGTGTGCGTGTGAGGCATGTGGTAGGTGCGAGTCATGCATGGTTGTGCGTGTGAGGCATTTGGTCCGTGTGGCTTGAGGTGTGAGGCACGTGCAAGCTGGGCAGTGGTGGTGGACAGTGGGGGGAGTTCGGGTATCAACAGCATTGGTCACGGAGGGTCCCACATCAGTGGGTCCACAGCAGAGGGGACCGAGCTTTCAGGCTGGACTCAGGCTGCAGACTCGGTGGTCTTCGGAGGGGACAGTGGGGAATGCCGTCTGTGCTCTGGCTGGACAAGGACGCCTGAGTGCTCCAGGGGAGTCAGGAAACTGAGTCCCGGGAGGTCATGGGGAGAAAGGAGGCTCTTGGTGTTCAGTCCAGCATCTTCTGGCCAGTGGTGCCCTAAGGCCTGAGTCACAGGGAGCCTGGCATGGATCAGAGCCCCAGAGGGACCGTGGGCACGGCTGCTTTATTTGCAAGTCCAGGCTGCATGATGCCCACCAGTGCGGGCATCTCCTGGGCCCGGCTCTAGCTCCTGCCCACGGTCTCAGGACCTGCAGGGTGGTCCCTCCATGCACTGCAGCGGGCCCCGGGACGGTGAGGGGCCCTGCTACGGCCCCTAGCCCTGCCCTACCCCCGGGGATTTTCATCTGTGGACTTGTCACTGCACCCTGTTCCTGAGGCCGTGTGGGCTGGGCAGCAGCTTCTCACAGTGACGAGGGTCCTGCTCCTTGGCAGAGTCCCCCCCCCCCAGGCTCCTGCCGCCTGGGCCGCTGCACCCCTCAGGGACCCCTGCTTGTCCTGATGGGCACACACCCACGTCCACAGGCTGGGTTCCTGACTTGAACCAGGGTGACTGGGCGGCGGGCGGCGGATCTTCAGACCTGAGCTGCACTTAGAGGCCATGCAGAAAAAGTCCTCGGGGCCCCATTTCTGACTGGGCGAGTGGGGGGACACCCTGAGACCCTCGTAGAGGGTTCCCCATCTCTGCCAGCAGCCTGGCCAGCACCAAATCCACTTTACCCCTTTGGAGCAGACACACGAGGCACATGTGCCCTTTCAGACAGTGCAAACCATTTATTCCGGTTTCTTCCTGCGGGACCCGGGGTCATCAGGGCACAGTGAGCCACAAGGAGCACCACAGCAAGGCACAAAGGTGAGTCCCGCATCAGGTGACACCGACTGCTGGGGGCGTCCGAGCACCAGGAGGGGGCCAGGCACCAGCCAGGGGTGTGGGGACCCCCAAGGGATAAGCAGCTCCAGTGTGTACTGAGGGGGTGCAAACTGACTGCGACGTGCGCCCTCTGGCCAGTTCCTCAGAACGTTCACAGCACACGTGGCCAGCACAGGGACAGGAACGCCCCTGGGGCATCCATGAGCAGCAGGATGGCCTTACAGTGCATGGCAGCCCTATTCCTCCGCCCGTCAGAGGGGAACCCCTGGGCAAGTTTCCACTAACCAGGCCAGAGGCTGGAATGGCCTCAAGTGCCCAGCTGCTGCCCTGAGGCCACCCCAGGCCAACCACCCTCCCAGGCCCCAGGGGGGTGTGCAGACAGGAACGAGGGAGGGGACTTCTCAGGATGGGGCTCTCTTCTCGGAACCCCGGTCCCTCCCGCCAGTGTGGACGAGTGAGGGTGGTGCTGTAGGGCCCAGCGAGACTACGATGAAGGCAGGTGGCCTGGAGTGTGACCCCAGTGGGGCAGAGTGAGGACCTGTGGGGACGTGCTGCGCAGGAGGGGAGAGGCCTGGGTATCCCCTCACCCACGCGTGTCCCTGCATAGGACGGGAACCCCAGCATCGGGAGTAGGGAGTCAGTGCAAACCGAGTGAAAGACCGACTTCCCAGCAGCTGGAGCCTCTCCCACATGCGCTGCCCGCCAGGCCTCTAGGCCTCACTCCGGTACCGCAGGCGGGAGAACCGGTCCCGGACAGCCTGGTCGCTGTCGGGCCCGCCCTCGGCCAGGCGAACCACCCTACCGCTCGGGACAAGGTCCCGCACCTTGTGCTTGGCCACGGAGACCATGCCAGGCGCGTCTGGGCTAGCCGGGCCCATCAGGAGGACGCAGGCAGCATGGCGGCTTGGCTCGAACAGGACCGCTACGGGAGAGACGGGCCGTCAGGGCGCTCGGGAGCAGCCAGCGCCGAGCCGACGGCAGGCGCAGCCCCAGCCCCCGGGGGGCGCACTCACCTTGGAAGGCGACGATGTTGGCAGAGAAGTTAGCCAGCTCCAGCAGGATGCCAGGCAGGCTGGGATGGAATACGTACAGGGTGTGCTGGGCGTCTCTGGGCTCCTGGAGCGAGAACCACAGTGCAGCATGAGGCTGACCCCACGTCTGCATCAGAGACACTGGTGTCCTGGGCCCAGGGGCGGGGCCGTGCTGTGCTCGCCCTCTCCGGACACCCGGAGAGAGTGGCCCTGCCCAGAGCTGTGTCCACAGGGTCCTCAACGGTGCAAGCAGCTTCTACTCCCCTCCCCTAGCCTGACCCTGACCCTTCTGAGGCATGCTCCCACTGGAACTCCGCACCTGCCTTCCCCCACGTCCCCCTGCTTCTTCCCAGATCCCCATCCTCTGCCCCAAGGCACACCTCAGCCCCAGCCTCCCGTGTGGTCCGGGGTACCTCATCCCACCCACGGTCCCATGGCTTCCATTTATGTGTGCACACCCAGTCACCCAGTTAGCTCCCAGCTGCCTCGAGGCAGGGCCCAAGGCTGGCCTCTGGTCTCTGGCCCTGGCCCGGGTGTGTCCCCTTAGTCCATGCCCTGCCCGTACCGTCTGGTTGGTGCCCATCAGTTCGTGGAGGCCCCAGAAGAAGAAGGCTGAGCGGTGGTCTGCGGTTGGCAGGCTGGCAGACTGTGGATCACCGGGGAGGCCTGGGAGAGCCTGTTTCCACAGGACAGCCCCGGTGCTGAGGTCCAGGAACAGGATCTGGGAGGGAGGGGGACAGCATGGGGGGGGGGCGGTCACAGGTGGGGCTTGCACAGGCCCACGGGCCCCAGCCAGGCCAGCCCTGAAAGAGCTGCACCCCAAGGGCACCCAGGATATCTCGCCAAGGCCCCTCTTTTGCTAGCTCAGCCTTCCAGCACGGCCCCGTCTGCTGTCCCGACTAACGTCCCTCAGTTACGAACAACGGTGGGGCCTCAAAGGGGGTGCAGCCAACCTGTCTGTCAATGCCGGTTCCGTTTTCAATGACCACAGCCAAGGTGTCAGGTTTGTAGTGGCCGAGGATGGGTTTTCTGCAAGCACAGGACAGGAGCGTTCACACAGGGCCTCTGTGGGGGGGGTCTCTGGGAACAGGTACACCAGCCCTCTGCTCCTTGGCCGCACCTGGATGGGGCCTGGACAGGCAGCTGAGGCCAGGGTGGACGGGGTCTCACCGGCCCCTCCGGTGCAGGGCAGCACCAGGGGACAGGCAAGAGGCCTCTGGCTGAAGCACACAGACGTCCCCCAGCCACCCGAGGCCTCATCCCAGGGCTGCCAAGGGACAGGCTGCGGTGCCCGGCTGGCAAGCACTGCCCGGTTCCTGGAGAAAGACTCGGTACCTCAAGACCTGGGCTGCACTGAAGGTCCACCTGGGCGCCAGGTCCTGCCCATCAACGAGCACACAGGCCTCTGAACTCACGAGGAGGAGGTCCTCACCAGTCTTCCCTGGAACGTTCATCAGGTAGCGGATGGCTCCCGGGCTAAGGGGAGAGAGCCAGAGGGATGTGGCAAGGATGCGGGCTGCCTGTGGGGTTCGCAGTTCGCCCCATGCTCCCTGCTTCAGTTTAGGGTAGGACCAGATGCTGGCTGTGTGCAGAGAGCCCCCCGGCTTCATCTCAGCTGCTGTAGGCCCGCTTCCCGTGTCTGAGCCCAACGGCAGGCAGGGCTGTGGCCCTCGCCCCGCGGCCACCCCTGCGATCCCCCGTCCCGACCGACCTGTGCCACAGCAGCCTGGGGGTGGTGGCGTTCAGCACGCCCTCCCAGCGCGGGTCGCTCCTCAGTGGGCTCCCGTTCCCGGTCGCCTTCTCGTGGAGACCCTTCACAGAGCAGCCACAGAGGGAGCTTGCTGCTGGAAACCCAGAAGAGCCTCAAGACGCTGCTGGCCGGGAGGAGGCCACCCGCTAGCCCTGCTTCCGGGACACACGGTGCCCTCCGAGCCCCGGGCACAACACGCTCGGGCTTTCTGAGCCTGTCACTGATGAACTCGTGTCCTCCCTGCGGTCCCCAGCTTCCCTGAGAGGGACAGTCCCGGGAACAGCAGGCGCACATACCACAAGGGAAAAGGATGTAGTGGGCACCCGCCGGGGAGATGTGCAGGAGGGAGCCCATGGTCCCGCCCACACCAAGGCTGCCGCGGCGGCCAATCTGGTGTCCAGTGCTGCCGGAGTAGAGGTAGCCGCCGACCTGTAACACAGAGAAGGGGGTCAAGACCCTCCTGGTCCGAGGAAAGAATGCGTTGAGTGTGTGGACTCAGGCATCTGCACACCCTCCCGGGGACGCGGGCAGCCCCACGCCAGCCACAGGGCCCCGCCCTCCGTGCTGCTGCGGCACCTACGGCCAAGTGCACGCTCTGCCCAGAAGCTGCCCAGGAGGAACAGAGCCGCCCCAGCGTGCCGGTCAGCAGGTGCCAGGAGCACGGGGCCCCGGGCACGTCCCCCGACAAATGGTCAGACCCACGTTGTGCCCAGGAAGTGAGAGTGGACAAGGGGCAGAGAAGAGGCGTCACAGTGAGTGGGCCACGGCGACCCGGGAGGGGAGCAGCACCTCCTTCTCCTCCTGGGTGAGAACCAGCAGGTCTGGGGCCCCGTCAGCATCGACGTCGGGCAGCTGGAGTAAAGAGCTCAGGACAGAAGCGTTCCTTCCAAAGCTGCTGGGGTGGCTCCACAGGGTTTCGCCTAAAACCAAGCACGATGTCACCAAGTGCTGGCTTCAAATCCCCTTCCGCTGCTGGCTGGCAATGGCACAGTGCCCACACTGAGAAATGGAAGTGCCCGCCAGCAGGAGGCCAGAGGCCAGCGCCGAGTGCGCACCACTGGGCGTCCAAGTCGTCACACGCCGGAGCGTCAGATGCGTCGCTTCTGGAACCACAAAGCTCCACCTTCCTGTTTTGCTTCTCCTGTGTCTTCTCATGTTTGGCTCTAGAACATCTTAGGGCCAACACTGACCCTCCCACCCGGATGGACAGGGCCTGACGCTTCCCAAGCCCCTCAGACCCCCTGACTATTGCTGAAGTCACAGGTGGACCCTCGGCCTCCAGGGAGGCCCCGGCTGAGTCCTGCACACAGAGGTGGAGAAGGAAGGGGCGTGCTTATGGCTGGACCCACAAACAGAGGCCCTGACAGAACAGCTTCTTTTTTCCCCAGGTACGATCTCATCCACACCCTTTTTAAGAGTATTTCCTCTCGTGAAATATTTCCAGCCTTCTCTTTGTTTTCCTCTATAGCCCTAAACCCACGACTGGTAAGGGAAATGCTACTCCTCAGCACACCCAGCGTCTAGGCACAGAATTCCTTAAGCCACCGGTGGGATCTGGGGGCTAACCACGGCCTGTTACATGGAGGCCCAGACACAAGAGCCCGTGCATCCAGAGCCCTGACAGGCCCTCCCCCGGGGGCTCAACCAGACGCTGGCCCGGGTACTGCAGCCGCCACTGAGCCCCCATCTCTGCTGGCCCCACAAGCACAAAGGAGCCGGGAGGTGACAAGACAGGGCAGAGTGGGACTGCGAGGAGGCGGCACCCCTCCCTCCTACCCCTGGAACCTTCTTCCCCATCTTGTGGGCTGGGGCGAGAACCCAGGCTGAACCTCCTCAGAGCTCCCTGGTGTGGAACCTCCCGTGCGGAGCCGCCTACCTGTGAACAAGTCCACAGCAACGAAGGAACCGGGTCTGCCCACGAGGATGCAGGCAGAGGTCGACCTGCCGCCCTGCAGCTGTGGGACGGAGCATTGCACAAGGGCCCCATCCTGGGCTGCGGGCCTCTCCCAGAGCACGCTGCCGTTGGCCCCAGACACGGCGGCCACAAAGGTACAGGGGGAGGAAAAGCCTGGCGGGGAGAGACCCAACTCTGTGGGGCACGTCAGCCCCTCTTCCCCCACACCCTGCTCCCGGGCCCAGCCCTGACCGCTGGCCCCGCAGGGACCCTACTGCTGGCCCCACGGGGTCAGGAGCTGCGCGGGGGCCAGGGTGCTGGGACCACAGTCCACACCCTGTCTGTTTCTAGGCCTCCTGGGAAGGAAGGGCAACGTTCCAGTTTCCCGAAATTCCACCAACTGCTTCCCCCAAAGACAGCAGAAGGAGAGGATCCCTCCACCCACAGGAAGTTCCTCCTTTTTCAGGTAAAAGCAAAATCACCTTCGTCGGTGCAGGATAGGTTGAAATTGTTGCTGCCGTTGGTATTTTTATAAAGAAAGAGAACATCTTGGATCCTGTCCCTGTTTATGTCTTCTGTAGCCAGAAAGTCATAGGTGACTGAAAAAGAAAATCACAGACTGTAGTCCTGGGGCCCCGCCAGGCTTAAAGGCCTGGCCAAGCCCGACACCACCTACTTCCGTGCTCCCTGTGGGTCAGCACCAGTTAGCACCTGCCAGCTTGAGGCCGCACCCAGAGCAGTGGCGTACAAACGCATGCTCGCACACCTTCTCTTCAGGAAGGAGTCCCTCCCTGCCTGTCTGGGTCCAGGAGTCTGCACTCCCACACTCGTAAGGGTCGACTTCTCCCTTTCATTCAAGGACTCAAATGATACACTGCAAGTGTTAACACAAAAACGAACTAAGGGGCGCCTGGGTGGCTCAGTCGGTTAAGCGTCCGACTCTTGATTTCTGCTCAGGTCATGATCTCAGGGTCGTGGGATCGAGCCCCGCGTGGGGCTCTGGGCTCAGCATAGAGTCTGCTTGTCCCTCTCCCTCTGCTCCTCCTCTATCTCTAAAATAGATAAATAAAATCTTTAAAAAACAAAACAAAAAGAACTCAAAATGGATCAAAGACCTAAACTTAAGAGCTTCCTAGAAGAAAATATAGAGAAAAATCTTCATGACGTTGGATTTGGTAATGATTTCTTGGATGTGACACCAAAGGCAAGGCAACAAAAGAAAAAACTGACACACTGGAGTCAAAATTTAAAGCCTTTGTGCATCAAAGGACACTGTCAAGAGAGTGAAGAGACACCCCACAGAGTGGGAGAGAATGTCTGCAGATCAGGTATCTGACAAGGGACTGATACCCAGTATCAGCCTACCCCTCCAGCACAAAGACAACCCAAGGCAAAAACAGGCAAAGGACTTGGAGATGCTCAACATCACCAGCAATTAGGGAAATGCCAATCAAAATGGTAATGAGACATGACCTCATGCTCTTTCACCCAAAATAACTGGAAGAAGGGACTTGGTCCCTGTACAGCCGGTTCAAGGCGTCATTCCCAGCTGCCAAAACGTGGAAACAAGCCAAGTATCCATTGACAGAAGAATGGATAACCAGAGTGCAGTCCACATACAATAATTATTCACCCGTAAAGAGGAAGGAGATTCAGATGCCCGCGACAGCATGGATGAACCCGGAGGGCGTTGCACTCGGTGGAATCGGCCGGACACAGAAGGGCAAGTCTTATATGACTCCACTTCTGCGGAGGCCCCTGGAATAGGCAGACTCAGAGGCCAAGAGGCTCAGGAGGAGGGAGAGAGGAGTCGGTGTTTGCTGGCTACCCTTTCTGTTGAGATGATGAAAAGGGGCAGAGGTGATGGTTACATAGTGTTATCGATGTCCCGACGCCAGTGAGTTACACTCTCTAAATGTACATGTCTATTTCACTACGATTTAAAAAATAAATCAAACGCCAGTCTCAGGACTTCCAGATTCATGGAGGGAAGAGCTTGGCAAATCCTCTCCCTTGAAACAACAATATAATGAGACAAATTGCCAAAAGCAACCGTATCAGGACTCTGGAAACAGACACAAGGCATGCCACAAATCGAGAGGTGCCTCCTGAGAAAAACCAAGCCATGGGTCAGGACAGTCAGCGTCCACCATCCTACTATGGCTCCTGCTGACCTCGCCCTCCGCGGCTGGGCACCAGACGGGTCAGCTTCCCCGCCAGAGGGGGACAACGTGATTTGCAGCCAGATGTCCAGGGCTACGGTGCTCTCCCCGGCAGCGAAGGCCAGCTCTGAAGCCAGACACAGGCTGGGATACAGGGCGGAGCCGACAACAGTCAGGAGGACCAGTCAAAAAGTGAACGGAGCCAGGACAAACAGAAACTAAAAGAATTTGCGATCACCAGACCAGCCCTACAAGAAATATTGAAAGGGGTCCTCTAAGCGAAGAGAGAGCCTAAAAGTAACATAGACCAGAAAGGAACAGAGACAATATACAGTAACAGTCATCTCACAGGCAATACAATGGCACTAAATTCATATCTCTGAATAGTCACCCTGCATGTAAATGGGCTAAATGCCCCCAATCAAAAGACATGGGGTATCAGATTGGATAAGAAACAAAAAGTGAATGGAGAGATCCAGAAAATGAGATCCAGAAATGAGACTCTAGGTCCCCACATATCCCTGGCAGCCCGAGGCTGCAGGAACCACAGGGAGGAAGCCTGTTCAGCCCCAGAAAGAACCGGGGACATGCTGTAACCGACAGACTTGTCTCCCGAGCGAGTGGCCAGACTCAAAGATCCACGTCACACGACTTCCTTTACGTGACGTGTCCACAAAAGGCAAGACTGTAGGCAGAAGGCAGCTGGTGGCTGTCTGGGCTGGGGATCGGGGACGATGGAAATCTAAAACTGGACCGGGCCGACAGGTGCACAGCCGCTCCATAAATGGACGAAAAATCATCGAATTGTACATTTAAAACAAGCGAACACTTTGACATATAGATTACACTTCAATAAAAGCTGCAAAAAAGAAACACAGAAACATACATTATTCCTGTCTCTCAAAATTAAGTGTCAAATTCTGAATAAAACTGATGGCGAGGCTTAAACGAGAAATTCCCTTCACTGCACAAGAGACGCCCGCCGGCGTTCACAGCCGCTTGTGCTCGCTGTGGGCGCTCCCACCCTAACAAGGAGGCGAAGTGTCCAGAGAAAGCCTGACTCGGTGGCTTTGCATAGAGGCCAAGAATCCAGACCACCGCCTTCATGGGGGGAAATGGATTTGCTCACGTCCGGCTCAGCCGACCGCAACGGCCGCAGAGCACTTGAGGAAACCAGACTACAAAACCTGCAGTTTTCATAGCTCCCCACAGCCTTCCCTCTATCTCTTCTTCCAGCTGCTCTGTTTTATTAATTTTTTTAAATTCCAAAACCTAACCCAAGGGGCCCCTTTCCTTTATTGGCACAACCCATCCTTCCTAATACGGACAGCAGGCCACCGTGCTCCCGTTTTTCCTGAGAGGCTGCTCGGCAGCTCGCCGAAGTCCCAAGACCGTGGACGCACCATCAGCAGCCACTCAGGGCTGATTCTCAGTCACCCACCACCCTAGACTGGGGGACATGATGCCACCCCCACCCCGGGGACAGGGGTTTGGGGCATACCTGCTGCATTGTAGTCGATCCTCCACACCCCCTGGGACGCAGGCCGGTCCGGACACGGGATGATGAAGGAAACCACGAACACTACAAAAAGGCAGACAAACAGTGAAAGAAAAAATGCCACCGTGCGGCATCGGGAGAGGTGAGGCTGCCAAGGCGAGCCTTTCAAGCTATCCTCCGTTTTTGCTTGGTTTCCCAGATTCTCCTGCAGTTTCTTGTCTTCATTCTTCAAGGGGTGGATTTCGGCTTCTAGGTCCTTGCTGTCCATCATCACGTGCACATGCCAGAGCTGGTCACTGCGTCAATAAAACAGGGACAGTCACACAGCTGCCCTTCCAGCCTTCCAGCCGTGCTCAGTCTCCCAGACCGGGTGCAGCCATGACTGCGCCCATCAGCCCAAGAAGGAAAAGCTAAATGAATGTTTACGGTGTTTTGGATGCCACCCAAGAAGGTCCTTTTGATGGCAAACTGCTCCTGTGGAACCGGCAGGCAGGGGATATTTCCACCCTTAACACCCCGGTGTCTCCAGCCTGCTAAGGCGGGGGCAAGCCGAGGGAGTGCTGGGCAGCGCTGGGGCCGTGGCGGGTCATCAAGCCACGCATTAAACATTAACTAAGCTGCCTCGGCACAGTCTGGGCACGCCTGACCCACTGTCCCCCAGCCTGAAGCACAGACAGGCAGGGGGCCCAGGCGCGAATGTGGTGAAACTAACACCCTCACACGGGGACCCCCCCCGGAGGATCATGGGTCCCTGGGGAAAAGTGTCAAAAGTGAAGGCGGGTTCTGGTGTCCCAGCCTTGCCCCACGCTCACTGTGTGAAATGAGGCAAACCACTGCACGTGACCATGCCCCATTTCCTGACTTGTAAAAGGAAATCAGAATCTATTTTAGAAGGCTGCTTAAAGGATTAAATTTGTAAATTCACATAAAGCACTTATAACAGCACCTGACATACATTAAGCACTCGAACGCTAGCTGATTGTTACTAATGATGAGTTAAGACACGCTGGACGTCCATGGAGGAGGAAGTGGACAGCGGGAGGACGGGTCCCAGTGTGAGTGCCGCCGGGAGCCCTGCCTCCTGCTGGCTGGACGTGGGTGACGTGCTGAGCCAACCTGGAGGCACCAGCTTGGAAAATGAGGCAGGGAACGCTTCTGAAGATGGCCAAGCCACAGGACGGAAAGCACCTGGACCCTCCCTGGCAGCTGGAAACCACCATCCATCCTTGGGTTCTTTATTAGATGAAAAAGACAGGACTGTCTACCTGGTGTAAGGCAAGATACCTGTCATCCAGGTCCTTTTGAAACACCCAAGCCAGTGTCCTAATGAACACAAATTCTATCGAGAGAATGGAAGGGACTACATGGGTCTGAGTGAGTTATGATCCTTGTCTGCCCAAAAAAGAAAGTCAACAGTTCATGACTCAAATGGGGACATGCCTGAGACCAGATGGAGGCGAAAACCAGAGGACATGGCCGGTGGCTCAGAGTGGCCCGTCTAAGGACAGGTTAAGGAAGATGGAAGGAGACAAGAGACTGCTATTTTTTTTTTT